CTCTCTCTCTACCTGTCTCTCTGCCTACTTGTGATCTCTGTCTGTCAAATAAATAAATAAATAAAATTAAAAAAAAAAAAAAAAAGATGTTAAGTAATCTCTACACCCAAGGTGGGGTTCAGAGTCAGAAGTCTGAGATCAAGACTGAGCCAGTCAGGTGCCTCAGCTTTCATAATTTTTTGATTGCCAACAATAAATGCCCCCATTTTGGAAAAAAAAAAAAAAAAACTTACACAGATGAGAAAAACAAAACAAAACAAAATACACATTTAGCTATTGAGTAGCTAAATGGTGGGGATTTTCAACCTGAATGACAGATCTATGTAAGAGTTCACACATACTTTCATACCTCCCTTCACCCAGTTATTTCCCATATGCAGTATAAGTATCTCCAAACCCATGTGGGTGTCTATTCAGCACAGATAATGCTGCTTATACTATTAGATGCACAAAGTGCTCAAAAGTTCTTGCCCAACAAATGCAATCTTCAGTATCATTATTCCATAATTGTAATTACTTTCATTTAAAAAGCTTTTATCAATTTAAAAAGAACTCCCACACAATTTGAATTTAGCTCTTCACACTGTTAAAAAGCCAAAGGCCTCAAGAAGTTATTAGTGAGGCAATGACAGCTAGGAAAAGCATGATTTAAGTTTCTATCTAGCTTTCAACTGTCAGGGGCTAATCGTAGTCATTCTAATTATAAGACCTCTGACTCCTTTAATGCCAACAGTACTTGGCAGGCACTGTAGCTGGAATTCACATTTGCTTGTGCTCTGGAGGGAAACCCAGCAAATGTATCATTTTTCTGCTGGCAGGTTTGATTCATGCAGAAGCCTTCACTTAACTAACAATAGAAAAGCAATACAGGGTGCCTTGGTGGCTCAGTGGGTTAAGCCGCTGCCTTCGGCTCAGGTCATGATCTCAGGGTCCTGGATCGAGTCCTGCATCGGGTTCTCTGCTCGGCAGAGATCCTGCTTCCCTCTCTCTCTCTCTGCCTGCCTCTCCATCTACTTGTGATCTCTCTCTGTCAAATAAATAAATAAAATCTTCAAAAAAAAAAAAAAAAGAAAAAAGCAATACATATGATGCCTTAATTGTTTTCCTTCAGGGAGTCTGTAACTGACACAATTGTATGAGTTTATAGTTTATAGGATATGGCTTTTCAACATGTTTTCTCTCCCTTGGCTTGCAAATTCTGTCAGAGCAGTGACCGTCTCCTTGTTGCATTCCATGAGTAGGTATATCTGCTTTAGGCACCCCAGGAAGTTCAAAGAAAAAGTTCTGATATAACATCCCCATGGATCCTATGCATAAAAAGAGTTTTTTCTTACTGACAGTTAATGACAGTTTGCTGTGGAACTAGGTGCATTCCTGAGGCCTCTTTGCAGCACGTTGTCAGTATCTACACAGCCCCCCATCCCACCACCATCCATCCCCATCACCCCATCAATAAAAGGCATTAAGAGTCATTGATAGAAGCACTGGAAGGTATTCTGAAATCCACTCTCAGGCTTTCAAGTAAATAAGATATTGTTTTTAATGCAAAACTTGGTATCTGTCCACCTTAAGTAAGGATCTGGTATGAACAGAGGGTTATTTGAGAAATGGATGGTGTCTGTTGGGGAAGGACAGTGATGGGGAGAGGGACGATAGCAATACAGGGCATTGGAATGCCTGCTTCAAAGTGCAGAGGGAGACTGAGAGAAGGCACTTCCTAGCTGTGTGACTTTTTGCATCTCACTGAACCTCACTAAGCCAATTATAACTCTGGAGTTCAAATCCTCATCTGTGTGACATCTTTCTAGTACATCATAGTTGCCCTTAACCAACACTTAACTGAATTTGTTTAAAGGGAACATACCTGTGGAGGGAGGTGTGGGGGAGATTTTAAGACTCTCCGATGGAGAGGAGAAGTGAGCTGAGGGAAATCAGAGGGGGAGACAAACCATGAGAGACTGTGGACCCTGAGAAAGAAACTGAGGGTTTTGGAGGGGAGGGGGATGAAGGGTTGGGTGAGTCTGGTGGTGGGTATTAAGGAGGGCACACACTGCATGGACCACTGGGTGTAGTGCATAAACAATGAATTATGGATCATGGAAAAAAATTAAATTAAATTAAATTAAAAAATAAAAAATAAAATGCACAACCTCAAAAAAAAAAAAAAAAGACACTATGTTATAATTTCCCCAGGACTGGACTACTTGTCAATTTTATAATTAAACTTTAATTGGGATTGGTCAACTTGAGAAACCCTATTGGGATTAAAGTGCTGGCCAAATTCATTGTTTGCGTATAACACCCAATGCTACATGCAATCCCTGCCCTCCTTAATACCCACCACTGGGCGGCTCCATTTTATATATGTACTTATTTTTTTCTGTTGGAGAAGCACCTTGGCGAGATCCTCTTAGGATGTCATGGGTGTGTGGGAAACCTTCAGCCAACAAAATTTTAGCTATTATGTTTCTTTATTGTTGTAAGAAGACCTGTTAATTTTTTTTTCTTTCCTCTTTCTAGTTCTGGAATACTGAGAGAATTAAATAAAATTCAAAATGCCTGGAAATGTGACCAATAATGATGTTGATGATCTTTCCTGGATTGACCTTCCTTAAAATCACTGCACATATTACTTAAATTAAATGATGAAACTCACTGTCTTTGACCCATCTTTAATTTAAAGAACACCTAAGTTTAAAAGATGATTAATAAATTAGTCCTATCTCATCTCTAAAGGAAAGGCTCATTGTTCTCAGAAAGGCGATTGAGGTTCAAGGAAAGAGAAAAACGAGTGAAGACAATGAAAAAAAAATTTTTTTTTTGAAAAGCAACAATCTGTAACTAAGTTGCGGATCACTTTGTAAACTAAATTAATGGTAGCCCTCAGGAATTGTTCTCACCAGTTGATTCAGCTAATATTGATTTTATGTGTATGCAGAAACATGGTAGGAATTATGATATTGGCCGATTTATGAATGCAGTGAGTGCAAGGCATTTAGGCAGGAGAAACACAAGGATACTTGGGGTTTAATTTCTTACGTTGCTTTACTTAACTAGGAATAATTTTGCTTTTTCACACTAATTTTCTTTTTAACTTCGCCTATCTAAATGTAAAAAATACTGTTGTCTGACTCTTCTCTCACATTAAGGTCTTTTCCCCTCCTTTTAAGATCTATGAGTTTTTAACAGCAAATCCTTGATATTTTTATTTCTTCTGTGGCATTGTGGAAGGTCTCAACTGTCAATGGGGAACTCCTGTATTACCTATAAAGGGAACATCTAAACTACAAAACTGTAGGGAAGAAATTGTATCATATCCCTCATAAAATTAGCATTAATGAATCCTGGAAATAGTTGAAGTTATACTCAATGCCTTTGGCCTTCCCACGCTTCCTGAATTCCCCCAACACCATCAGCTCATGACAACTGTTCGTAATAATGCCATGTCTATTTTTTTCAGGGCACTGGCCAAACTGGAACAGTTGTTTTGTTCTTTGCTAATCTATGAACCTAGAAAAAATAAAGATAGGTATGTAAATCATATGTCAGCCTTATGCTCCCTGTGTGATTAATCCAATCAACTGATTTTAAAATCCAGCAAATAAAATACTGGGAAGAAAATTCACAGAAATTATATATAATATCTTTACCCTATCAATGGCTCACACAAATTGATATTAAAAGTACTATAAGCACTATAATGAAGCAAAAGATATAATTAGACAATGCACAGATTGTATGATACTAAACAGTTTAAAAACCCATTTAAACTGTTCAGCTTCATTATAATCAATGATTACCAACAATGGGTTAGCATATTACGCTTTTATCAGTAAAGATTTTTTTTAGGTGATACCAGCCTATTCAGGAGAAACACACTAGAATGCGAGTGGATTGGCATCACTCTTGGAAAAGCAACTATATAATAATGAGATTTACAGTGTTTGTAACCTCTTCCTCAATAAAGCCAAGTCTAGAAATTTTTCCCAAGAAAATGACCCTTAATATAGGAAAAGTATAGAGATGTTCATCTTTCTGTCATTTGAAATATAACACAACTGTTTACAACATAAATGTCCAACAATAAAGAAATAGCTAAGGAAACTATAATTAGTCTAAGGGATGTCATTGTCTACATTCTTCTAAAATGATCAGGCAGAAATCATCATGAAAAGGGAAAAACTTATACTCTAATGTTAGCAAAAAATTCTCAGTATATTTTATGTTCACTATTATTTCAGGTATGAAAAGCAAATCATGTAGAATGTATTGAAATAAGAGTGGGAAGGAAATACAACATAATACCTTGTGTTTTATTGAGGTGGTGGGAACTATGTAAATTTTTTTCTTTTTCATATATATTTCAGTCCTCTTATTTCGTATAGTGTGTATCTTTTCTTTTACAACAAAAAGATACTTACTAAAGACATAAAAAGCACACAAAACCTTAAAAGGGGTATGAACCATCAACGTGGAACAGACACTCAGCTAATCAATGGGGATTCAAGCCTTGTGATCCATGCCACAGAGATCAAATTTTCACCAGCCATTGCAGAACGGTCATCTCTCTGATATCAGCAATTGGGTTAATTTCTGGGAAGATATTACAATTCTTAAACTCAAAGGAATTAGAATGTGGTTACTACCGACCTGTTTTATAACTAAAGAGGAATATGCATGATCAACAAAAGTTTCTTTAAAAATAACAGATACTGTAAATGGCATAATTATCAATGAACACTAACTGAACAGTTACAACTAGCTTTATCTTATGCAACTTCCCATTTTTTTTCTTCTAAGAGAAAATAATCAACTTATATTCACTAAAATATTTCCAAGTATGTTCTAAATTATACTAAACATTATCTCACATTTAAAAAATAATGTATAAACTAATTTAATCCCCAAATCTTAAGTGTTTTTTTGGTTGGAGTGGTGGAAATTATTTCGTGAATTTTTAGGCACAGGAATAGAATGAAAAAATTAAAAATGCCACTTACCTGACATGCTTCCTTTGTCAGAGAAATCTTTATGTAGCCATAAGGGAAATGTATGGATTAAAAAGGCTCCCACAAACTCTTTTTTTCTCAGTAAAGGTACACACTTTAGAAGCAGTGTGCCAGTAAAACGTGTCTGTAACCGTACCTCGGGTTTCTCTCTTCTGTGTCTTAAAATCTTTTGTGTGTACTTTGTTCAGTTACAAACAGGAAATGTGGTGATGGAGGTTTCTAGAGGTTTGATCTGAAACCAGTATGCTCTTAAATTTTTGTGTTACATGAGACAAAAAATCCCACAAGCTTCTGTATTCTGGCATTTGGATTTTTATCAATACCTAAATCTAATTTTAAAATGATAATGAAGGCAAAGTATGAATTAGCCCAGGAGGGAGTCCCCCATGCCTCTACAGAGAATCCAAGAATCTCCTCACAAATGAGTTCACATGGAAACAAACTCAAATATAGTAAACAGGGGAGGAAACAGTGAGAAGCTCCCAGGTGTGTTCAGCTTTTGGGTGTGTTTTCTTTGAGGCACAATGGAGGAAAGGGGATTGAGGCTTTTTGAACGTTACTGCGTATCAGGTGCCTTGTTTACCTGGTCCCACTGGAAGACCGGGTGTCTGCCTTCTTTGCCGCCAACTCTCACTCCAGCCAATGGGAGTCTGTGTAGTCTAGGGCCACTTGGCAACGAGCTCTAGCTCTCAATGCACACTCCAGTATCTCAGTAATCAGAGGTTCCTAAATGTTAGTATGCATAAGTATGCTATGCAGCTCTGGTTTAACACTCATATTCCTGAGTCTTACTAAACCCAAATATTTGGAGCAGAGTCCAGGAATCTGCATTTTCACAAGTGCCCCATGGTTATTTTAAAATATAAAGGCTCTCGATAATGCTCTGAAAAACACATGTATATGTCAATGGTAGAGTTCATTTTTAGCATTAGTCAAAGATGATCTGGGCAGTTATCTGAATATATGGTTTGTATGTGTTTAGGGGTACATATACCTGCTGCGTATTGTGTGTCTATGGATATTTGATTATGGATCCCACCAGTTTTCTTTAGCTATAGAAAAATGACAAACCTGAATCCAGTTTACTATGAAAGGGAATGCACTTAAGCTTTAAGAAGTTAAACTTTAAGGGAAATTTAAAAATGAGACTTTTGATGCACAGACTCCAAATAAAAATATTAAATGGCTAGCAGAATATCTTACCTTGCTGATTTCTATAAGATTCTTGGGGCAGGAAGAGTACTGATTTTATTCACCATGAAAACCCCAGCATCTACAATAATGTTTGGCACACTGTAGTTCTCAATAAATATTCTCACAATGATTGAATAAATAAAAGAATGTTAATCTTCTGCTTTTTCTTTGCTCCATTATAGAAAACAACTTCCTAGTAACCAAAATACAGTGCTTCTTTATTCTTTGAATGAATAAAGACTTAACACTAACAGATTTTTCCAATTCAATTGCTTTCCCCCAAATATTTCTTGTGAATCATTGAATCAGAATCTATAAAACAGAAAAAGATCATGGAGATTCCCTACTCTTCTAAAAATGCATTTTCAAAATACATTTCATAGAACACTAGGCCTTAAAGGAAACTTGGAGATAAATGTTCCTGCAACAGATATGTTTGGAAAAACTATTATTTTCACCTTCATGGATGCCTATGAGTATATTAAAATCATAGGTAAGTTCTATAAAAAGTAAACCTGAATAACCACTTTAACAGAGCTTTTTCTAAACCTACTTGGCCAGAACACATGATTCAGCACCATCCATTAACAGGGTAACAGGTTGGGATGAAGGAGGCCTGGATGCCCAGAGACCAAGAGCTCAAGGGAATAGAAGTCTCCGGTTCATGTAGGGACCAGAGGACAACAAAGAATTAGAAGAATCCATCCAATAATTAGGTAGGGCATAGGAATGGAGATCTATTCAGGAGGAGAGAGCCCAGCTGTGGGGCAGTTGTGAGGGGTTGTGAGGGACTGAATTTTGGACCTAGAAGAGGATACCTAGCAAGGAAAATAGAAGCCTTGGGCTCAAAAGGAAACTGCAGGGGCACCTGGGTGGCTCAGTGGGTTAAGCCTCTGCCTTCAGCTCAGGTCATGATCTCAGGGTCCTGGGATAGAGCCCCGAATCAGGCTCTCTGCTCAGCAGGGAGCCTGCTTCCTCCATCTCTCTACCTGCCTCTCTGCCTACTTGTGATCTGTCAAATAAATAAATAAAATCTTAAAAAAAAAAAAAAAAAAAGGGAACTGCATAGATGGCCTAAGTAGGAGCATGGCAACCTCACAATCTTGAAACATGGGCAAAGTAGAAACCCATTTATATCAGCAGGGGCTGAGAGAAGATGTGGGAGACAAAAGGGGTCTCAGGACTGGAGATTTCTGTGCAGGACTCCTCTGTTCAAGCAAGAATAGTGTAGAGGATGGGGAAAGAAGGAACAGGGATACCCTGGTTGATCCACAGAACTCAAATCCACCAGTGGTTGGCTTCGGTTACAGAGAAGGTCAGCTTTAGTGAGAATAATTCAGGTGAAAATGCAGGAATCCTGCAGTTACCCCAGAGATGTACATCTCAGGACAGCCCAACAGGGACATAGTCTCAAACCAAGTGAACCAGTTGGGCCAGCACCCAAAGCTATCTGAGGGCTTCCCTGCCTCAAGTCTATGTGACATCTACCAGTCTGCAGAAATCTGGGGAAGGCGAGAGCAGAGGAGACAGGTGGGGATCAAGAAAGGGTATATCCTATTCTTTCAGGTCAGCAAGGCAGCCTGTGGTACATGTTGAATGATTACTTAATGGTTTTACCCAGTTAATGAACATGACCCATGACAGACATTTCTAAAATGATAAAACATCTGCTGATAGATCTGAACTACTTCACAATTTCTAATTATTATAATACTTTCGAAAAGTGATCTGCATGACAATGTTCCCCATTCTGTAGATTTATAAAATCAGGAGATAGAGCAAGATTGTCCAAGGTCACACAGAAAGTCTGTGCCTGTGCATTAGGTGGCTTCACATATGTTTGAAATTTGTCAGGAGAGAAAAAAAGATAGCTTTTCATTAAATATAGGTGGCTGAACACATGGAGACATTATCAGAATATAAAAAAGCCTATGGATTTATATTTGTTATGAAATACACTAGTGAGTGCAATTGGAGATTTGAATGATGGCTTTATGAGTCATGTTCAAATAATAAATAAACATGAGGCTTCTGTAGTACTTTTTAATGAGTTGGGTTATTGAAATGAAGTTTAGCAGATAGCGGGACTAAGCATATTTGTCCTGACAAGCTTGGAGCAGTTAAAAATATAGGGAATTTTGGGGGAAAATATGTGACTCTGATGGGCACCTGTCAAGAAATGAGAATTTTAAGGCCAACAAAATTGAAGTTTTGTCGCCCCCCCCCAACAAAAAAAAAGAAAAAGAAAAACAGATCAAAATGGCAGCTGCCATTCGGAGCTCCCACACTCAGAAAAATGGGTCATAGTTTATAGAAAGAAGCCCAATTTCCAAGTCCCTTTTTTGATGGTCACCTATTATCTTTATTTTAATCTTTATCACCATAGTATATTTATTTATGTTTGTATATATCATACAAGGATATATACTCCACATACATATATATGAATATGTATTTTAAAGTCTACAGGGTTTCAGACCATTAACAGTAGTTACTAATAGGGGATTACCTGGAACTCTGGCTTTACACTTTACAAATCTGTCCATTGTTTAAATTATTCCCAATAACATGCACTAAACAAAATGGTTGGAATAAAAGATGCCTCCTTACTTTTTTAAATTGTATTTATTTATTCCAGAGAGATAGAGAGAGAGGAGGAGCAGACTCCACATTGAGCATGGAGCCTGATGCAGGGCTTGATCTCAGGACCCTGAGCAAGAGTCAGACACTTAACTGACTGAGCCACCCAGGCACTAAGGATGACTCCTTATTTTTTTTTAATTATTTATTTATTCATTTGACACAGAGAGAGAGATCACAAGTAGGCAGAGAGGCAGGCAGAGAGAGAGGAGGAAGCAGGCTCCCTTCTGAGCACAGAGCGTGATACGGGGCTCCATCCCAGGACCCTGAGATCATGACCTGAGCCGAAAGCAGAGGCTTTAACCCACTGAGCCACCCAGGCACCCCGATGACTCCTTATTTTAAAGGATCTTTGGAATACTTTTTTTTTTTTTTTATAGAAACAGAACTAATCTCTGTGTGATTTTTCTTTATTCTGGTAAATCATTCTTTAGTAAGACTGACTCTGGTATGGGAACAACTTTATGAAAGACAGGAGGGGAGGGGTCCTGTGCTTCCAATTATGCAATTTTAAAATATGACATTATTCAAAATTAATCATGGTGCTACAATTACATCTGATTAGACTATATTGGTGATTCGTATTTTCATTGAGTTTATAGAAGACATAATTATTCAGGTAGAAAAGAAAAAAACAAGTTAAAAGTAATAGAACAATGCATGGATTTGTCATAAGATTCTAAGCTCTTTTTTATAATTACTATACTTTTTATTATACTTATTATACTTATTATAACTTTATAGGACCAGAATTCCTGGAAAATCAAATATGTAAAATTCAGAAACAAGGGAGAGTAATGGCTATTAGTAGATACAGTCATCTTCCTACACATAAAAGGCTTAAATATTCAAATTTTCTAGGAGAAAGCAATTTGCTTCCTAATTTCTACACAATACCCCAGAGAGAATGCTATTAGTAAACTCAAAGCATTCTGAAAAATTCTGTTCTTATTTGAAATACAACTGGCTCAAAGGAAATCCAGTTAATTTACCATGGAACTCCGAACATTAGTAAGGTAATATAAAATTTCTCTTTTCAAGAGGAAGCGATACTCAGTATTCCCAAAAATTATTTCACAAGAGAAACATTCTCTTATTTTATTATTTTTTCAAAGCCTTTTGCAGGACTATCACTCTGATGTGTGTGCTTCACAAAACACTGGATCAAGCAATATGTGTTCCTGTTGAACTGGGTCTTCTGACTTTCACCCATATTCGGCACCTGGCTTACCTAAGGGACACCACAGATACTATCAACTTTACTGCCTACATATGAATTTCCATCTCCAGAAATATTGTGCCCGAGATTATAAGGGATAAGCCCTTAAAACTCAGATGTCCCAGGACAGGTAATACCACCAGTATCCTCAGA